TTTATTATATAATTTTTAAATTAATACTATGTTTATTTAGCTTGTTATAAATTTTTAAAAAGTGTCTACAATAATATACTAGCATACTGTAAGTTTCCAAACAAGCTGTGTATGAAATTCTTTACTATTTAAGAGATTTTGTATATAGTTACTAGAGTTAAAATAAATTAAATGTGTATTAATAATTGATATATCAAGTAGCCAAAAAAATAATGGAAGCCAATTTCAATGAACTTTAAATTAAGAAAGATAATATAAATGTCATTGATTAGCTATATCAACATCTCCTATATGAAGATTATAATTATTAATAATTTTTGGAATTGGTAATTGCATTTGTGAAGAATTTCCAAAAACTGTTCGAACTTTTGTAGTATTTGAACTAGTCTCTTGTGGACATCAATGCCAACAATTAACCTATGACTCATTTTTAATAATAATATAAACTGTACTTAACATTGTTACAAGTCATTATCAATCCAAAGAACAGCAAGTATATTATTTACTATAATTCCTAAAAGTGTATCCCATTCAAAAGATCTTATATTCTTAACTTTTAATTCTTTTGGAAATATTACTGAATTCATATGAACTGTTCTACAAGTACTAATCTCTCTACTTCACAAATATTGAAATAATGGAATAGAAGTAAAAAAATTGTCTATATATACTGTAAAGGCATGTTGATTAAGTGGAAGTTAAAGTACTAAATTACAAACATGCCAACCTATTTCATTAACACCTTGAATAGTAGATAAATTTATTGTTTTTTCAACACATGATAAAAAAGAAAATATTTATGTATATCTGAAACATATAAAGCTAAAATTTTATATCCTTCAGGAGTAGGTTTGGATTTCATATATGCTATGTACACTTTTTTTAAAAAAATGAGCTATTATTTCATCTATAACTATATTTGAACTTGGCATATACATTCTTTTACATGTTTTGCGAATAGATGAAGCAAGAGGCTCAACTTTTGAATACCAATAAGGGTAGGGCCCAATTGGATTTGAAATATGCAAATATTATTTTATTTGTTCAAATCATATTATTGACATTAGATTTAAAATGTAGTGAACTAGATATTGATTATTTTTAATCCAAAGAGATTCAAGAGATATGATTTTATATATTTATATAAATTACAATTGCAGTCCAAATACGTAATTCATCAATATTAAAGTCTTTCCATATCTGTTCTAAGCCTTCTAAATTTTGAATAGCACTATATTTATTCGTTGATTTTACTATTTTATTTAGAAATTGAACTGAAAAAAATTCATAAAATAACATTAAAAAGGTTATTATTTCAAGCAATTAAAAAGTTCTTGAAAAAATTAAATAACCATTTTCATAAAAAGGAAGTTCATATTGTAAAGAGATAAATTCAGGTAGATTTAAAAAAGTTGTTTGCTAACTAAGTCTACCACCATGGTTATTTCTATTTGCTCTTGATCTATACGATTGTTTTCTAGTTTGTTCTTGATTTCTAGTAATTTTAACTGCTAGAGGATTTTCTTGTAATTCTAATTTTTCATTACTTTCTTGAGCAGGATATTCAGAAAAATTATCTATTGATCATTTTTTATAACAACTTGGCAAAAAAAAAATTTACTTCAAGCTTGTTACTAAACTCTGAATTACTTCTAATTTTTTGTTCATGAGTAAACATAATAATGCTTTAAAACTGAATAATTAATCATTTTAAGTATTAATTTTCTTTTTTTTTTTGTTATATATATTAGAAAGCTGAATCTTTTTATGCATCACTATGTAATATATTATCATAATTATAATGCATCACCATATACAATTTAATAAATAATAGAAAAGTTAAAAAATAACTATATATATATACATTGTTAAATAATATATCATCATTAAGATGCATTATTAAATTTAATTTATCACTATATATATTGTTACTAATTTCTGATTATTTTCATTATGCAAACTGTTTACAGCACTGAATCAAAATTTTTGCACAGTTTTTTTTTTTTTTTGATAGTTGTTTGGCATACCAAACCAAAAAAAAAAAACATAGTTCACCAAAGCAATTGTGTGCAGTTTTTTATTTGATACTATACAAATTTAATATCTTGGTTTTCATAATAAACCAGACAAGCTGGGTTAATTTCAGTAAAAATTTTATAAAAAAATTTTAAACCTAGCTGTTATTTTAAAGAATTTTAAAATTTGACCTGTTCAAGTTATGAAATATTAGTCTTGGTATAGTGCAGGACACCTAAAGGTGGAAGTCACATGATTTGTCCTATTTTGGTGTAATTTTTAAAAAAATCTTAAATTACACAAAAATCACATTTTCACACAAGCATCGATCACGTGACATGTCATCTTGATCAGACCAATTTATTTCTTTGGTTCAGATTTTTTAAAGTAATCAATTTTAAAATAGCAAACATTATTTTAATTTATTTGACTTAAATCTATTTATTTTAATCAAGCATCTATTTATTTAATCATGGTCGATTTATTTATTTATTTATTTGCATACTAAATTTTATTTAATTTTTTTAATTGCACACTAAATTTATTTCGGTTATTTTATTTATTTATTTATTTATTGCAATTAAATTTTATTTCAATTTATTTAATCACACACTAAATTTTATTTAATTTTGTTTAATCGCATACTAAATTTACTTTGGTTATTTTATTTATTTATTTATTTATTGCAATTAAATTTTATTTCAATTTATTTATATCACATATTAAATTTTATTTAATTTTTTTTAATTGTACACTAAATTTACTTTGGTTATTTTATTTATTTATTTATTGTAATTAAATTTTATTTCAATTTATTTATTTATTTAATTGTACATAAAATTTTTATTTATTTATTAAGCAGTGCCCACTTTTCTATTTTCTTGAACAAATGAAGCCAATTCGTTTTGAGTAGAGTTGTTAATGGAGTGGTTTGGTTTGGGTTATAAACCAGTGGAGTAAATTTAAAACCAAACCAAACTGGTTTAATTATTCTAGCATATACTCCAGTTTATACTCTAGTTTATACTCCAGTTTTATACTCCAGTTTATGCTCCAGTTTATACTTCAGTTTATACTTCAGTTTATACTCCAGAGCAATACTTCAGAACAATACTCCAGAGCAATAAACCAAAGCAATACTTCAGAGCAATGCTTCAGAGTAATACTCTAGTTTATACTCTAGAGTAATAGTATAAATCACTATAATAAAAATAAACAAATATTATTAAGATAATTTACTTATTTATTATTTGAAGAATTGCAAATGCAACTAGAAATAATTGGAATTGTTATTTTTAATAAAATATTAAATAATTTATTTATTCTGCTATACTGGAAAAATAATAAATATTCTTCTAGCGGCATGCTTATAGAAGTGCAAAATATTCTATATATGGGGGAGCCCACAGCAAAAGGTGGCTTTGGGCCAACCAATCATATTTTAAGATTTTATATGATAACTATCTAACTAATAGTTATCTTTATAAAAATAATTTTTAATTGTTAAATTTATTAATAAAAAAATATATAAATTTAGTTTAATCGCTTTAATACTATATATAAGTGATAATCATATACCAATTTTAGCAATGATTTTCTCAAAATCATGTGATTATCCCAAAGCCACCTTTTGCTGTGGGTCCCCCCATATGCTACTGGGTTTGCATGTGCATAGATTGAATTAGTACAGATAGTGATCTATATACATTTGTATATATATATATATACCTGATGTAAAACCACATAAATCATATATGCTAATTGCTACAGAGCTAATAGCATATGAATAAAACAGGTAAGTAAACATAAATTCATAGTCCACTTTCTAATAGATATTTTATTAGAAGAGGACTAGGTAATAATTAGAGTATATATTTATCTAGAAACTAAAGTAACTATAAATATATAAAATCTTGCAAGAAATCTTTTTCTTAAAATATCTAGAGCAGTTTATTTAAAATATTGCAAAAAAATATATATTTGTAATCTATCACTTTTATTATACTCATATTACTTTTAATACATACTATTTGTAAAATAAAGATATACTATAATTATAACATATATATACATATTATTTAATAAACTGGGTTATTAAACTGGGTTATTAAACTGATTTGTTAAACTGGTTTGTTAAACTAGTTTGTTAAACTGGTTTAATAAACTGGTTTACTCCAGTTTATAAACTAGTTTACTCTATTTATTAGCCTGGTTTAATAACGTGATTTACTCTGGTTTATTAAATTTTAATCTACTCCAAGTTGGTTTGGAGTCAAACTGGAGCCACTCTGAAGTGACCTACTCTATTTAACAATCCTAGTTTTGAGAAACTCTTCTATGTGATTTAAATTTTTTATATGCATATTCTGCTAATTTTTCTGTCAGTCCCTCATGATACAACTCTATATATCTTTATGATTTGTAAACAAACTTTCTAATTATAATGATGTCTACTAAATCAAGTGCTCGTAAAACAGTTTCTTGCAAGCCAGTCTATGTATAATCACAGTAATTTCTTGTATATCTCTTAGCCGCCCCCAATACATTTCAATAAAATTAAGTTTGCAGTAGAACTTCAAATAAAAAATGCAAATATAACTGGCACCTTCGATTAATTCCACAATAGTGAACTTTTGGGCAACAAAATCTGGTTAAGAGGCTATAATTTTCCTCAAGCAACAATCTGTCCTACCTGAATTATTATTATTTTTATACATTAAACAATCTAAATTTAACCCTTCTTTAAAAAATTCTCTTTCTTCTAACATCTTTCTTATTCCTTTTAGCTTTTCTCTTAAATCAGAATCAGAATAATTCTTTTCAAATACCATTTCCTATGCCTTCTGTTGATCATTAATATCAATAAAAGTTGTTGGCCATATTACACTTTGTTTTCTTGCGGGTCCTTTGTTCATATTTTTTGCTATAAAGGCATTGTCTGCAAATGCCATATAATTCGTACTGTTATTGAAGCCGAAGATAGCTATTGTACCAAAAAACTTTGCTTTAAAATAAAAATTATTTTTTCTTTGATTTGTTTCAATAAATGTTCAATTGTTCAGTACTTTTCTTTATTTTTATCAGATTTAAGATAACAACATGCTTCTGCAAGAACATTAGGGTGGTTTTCTCTTTCTTCTTCACTTAATTGCAATCTACTACACACTTTTGAAACAAATTCGCTTACTATAATTGATTTTTCATTTCCTTTCTTACATAATAGCATCGTATCATTGTATATCCAAATTCCTCTTTTTCCATCATGTGAATAAAAGATACACTCATCATGAGTGACAAAGATCAACTCTCATTCACCTACTCTAAATATGGGTGAAACCCATTTCATTGTTATTCCTTTATACATTGCCATTTGCTGTTCTAAAGTTTTTATCTTTTCTAAAAATCTATTTCAATATTTAACAATATTCCTTCATTCATGCTTATCAAAATACATACCCTTCCAGTATCTTTTAAACTGACAACCTGAAACACTCAACCATCTTTTAGCCATTCTCAGGCTAATTGCCCTTTTTATCCCTCCCATATATTTAGGTAAAATAACAAAATTGACATATTATCTAAATTGAGATAGAATAACACCATTTATCTCCGATTCTTCTCGTATCTACTGTATACATTTTAATGCTATATCCTCATTATCAACTAACCATTTACATTTTTGGTGCCGACCATATTGGGATAGTGGAAATGATTTATTATGTAAATAAAAATTATCAAGAAAATGAATTTTTTTATATTTGTAAGAGTTTGTGTTAATATAAACTAAGTTTGCTACAACTTTACTTGCTTTTACTTTTCCATAACCATTATATTGTCTTACAAAATATTTATATATAGCCCATCGTTCGTTATATTCTAGAGCAGTAAATATCTTTTCATTTTTTAAAAGTTTATCTTGAAGCTATGCAATTACATCACCAAGTTCAAAACGTGCCTTTTTATTATCATTGTCACCTTCATCTCTACCACTATTACTATTCTTGCTTTCATCTTCATCATAGTTTAATTTAGCCAAAATTGAATACTCTGAAGATGCTGTTCATAAAAACAGCATTGGGAATTCTGGTTAGGAGGATAATCAAACTATAGCCTAATTGGAGTAGTAAATAAAACAGTAAACATAGCATAAGATTTGTAATAAAAAATTGACTTTACTATATTCAAAACACTTCTGACAAAATATATACAAAATTGAAAATATGTTACAAACACATACCAACTATGAGAATATTGTATAAAGTAGGTGGTACACTACAGATTACAACTAGATATTTAATAAATTTGGCTATACTAAAAGATATTAATATATAAAGAGCTATATACACCAATTTGAAAGCAAAAAGAGCAAAAAACTGTCAGAATAAACCAAACTAGAAGAATTGTAAGGTTGCTGCAGAAAGTAAAAAGAAGAGTATAATATAAAATAAGTAAAATAGAAAATCTTGTATATCTAGAAATAGTAGTAGTAAATGATATTATTTATATTATTCTATATATATAGAAAAATATAGGCATACAGTATGCTAATTTAGTTGATCTGTGCTAATTTTGATATTAGTTACAATAAATTTCAGATATAAATTAATTTGTAATATTAGTATTATAATAATAAAGTTTTATATTATAATATTATATTAAAAAAAAAATTCTTAGTTAATATAAATAGCATTAACAATCTTTAAAGTAGCACTAGAGATTTTAATTAGGAAAATAATTAAATAGTAACTAGAATTAGAATACAGTCAACTCTTTTTTATCCAAATAGCCTGTTCTTGGGTTTTTAGTTCAGTTCTCAAAAAGGTATTATAAATTTATTTGAACTTTATAATAAATTTATAAATGTTTTAGAGTTTTCAATTTGAATAAGAAAGAGTTTGGTTTAGAGAGGTTTAGTTAAGAGAGAGTTAACTGTAGCAAGAAAAATAGTAAATGTAAAAGAGCCTGTAAAAGAGCTTTTAGAAATCAGCTAATTTATCTTTACTAATAGGCCACTTCTACTTATCTATATCTAATACTATATTAGCTAATCAAATTTTATAAAATTATTATAATGAATATTTAAAATTAATAACTTTTAATCTACTAATCTAATTTGGATGATTTAACTACCAAAATAATTATTTCAAAGAGAAGATTCTAACAAGTTTAAAATTATAAAAATCTAATTATTAAATTCCAAAATTAATTTATATTTGTATATATATATTTTTTTAGCTCTTTGATAGTCTTGTTAGAGCTTCAATACAAAAAAACTTATTTAATTAGTAATAGTGAACTAGGATCCTGAAATATACATAGATAGATTAAATTTTAGTTTGCTTATTTTTGATCTTTTTTGTGTAGATAGTAATTAGTTTGCTTATTTTTAACTTTTTTTGCAAATATTTAGTAATTTTTGTAAAACTTTACTTTTTATATATATTTCAGAGTTCTGGTAAACTATTTAGAATATACAAATGCTTATTTCTAAACTAAACAACATTTTTACTAAGTTGCAAATTTAACATTTCATAGCTGCAATAAACATGCCTATTAGCAATCTGTTATACCAACTTGTATACAAGTTGAATAAATATTGTTAGCTCATCAAAAGCTAATTCTTTTAATTTTTTTTTCTTCACTAAGAGCAAAAGAAAGTAATATTTTTGTATCTACAATACAAAAATATATATTAAAAAACAAATTGAAAATGAATTAAAAAACATATATAACAAAATAAAAAAATATTAAATTAAAAAAATAAAGGAACAGAAAAATGTAAAAAAAAAACAAAGAGAAAAGCCTGACAAAGAAAAGATGCTACCTCTATTAAGAAGTAGCCAAAAAAATACTATTATAACCCATACTAGGCTAGTAAAAATTATAACAATTGCAACCTATTAGTCACATAATTTGTTATATTATATACAAAGTAATATACTACAATACCAATCTAACAGTAATTCTTTTATATAATATATTTCAAATTCATAACTTGAGGTCCTACAAGATACCAGAAAATAATAGCTTTAATAAAACACCAACTAATAGTAATTTGGTAAAACACTAACTAATAGCAATATAGTAATAGCTACAAAATACCAAGTGACAAATTAACAACAACCAAGCAACACAAGATATATGAATACTAATTAAAACTTTAATAATGATAACTCCAGTAATAAGACAAATTATACTTAAAAGTGAAGTATTAGAAATATAAAAAAAAAAAACACTATAACAACACAAACGATAAATTGTACTAGCCTAAATGATGATGGTGACTTTACTAATCCACTAGCATAACTAATAACAAAATCTTATGAAAAAAAGTTAGTGAAAAAGGTAATACAAAACTTAAACATGTATTAATAAATATAGATAATAAAAATTTACAATGACTTCAGTAACAATGACTTTAATAGTGAAATCATATCTGGAAGAAAGAGTAGTTAGTGAATATATATATATATATAAAAAGAAAGCAACACAAAGATTTAAAAATTTATCTGGTGTCCAATTTCACATTTTAAGAAAGTCAAATCTACAAAACTTTACCCAGTACACAATTTTGCATTTTAAGAAAGCTCGAATCTTACAAAAGAAGAAAGGTATTAGTACTTCTAAAAAAAACAAAAAAACTTATCTAGATTGATTTCACATTATGCATAAAATAATCTAAATTGATCTGGTCTGGCATTGGTAGAGTCAGATCAATACATGAATCTTAGTCATATGATCTTCTTGGTTTTGATTGGCTAATAAGTCAGAGATACCTAGAAAACCTTTAATATTATTGTTCTTTTATGAGAAACATCCCCTAAACATGATAGGTGAGAGGTTGGAATCTGTTGTTTCCATGGTTCTTTTTTTAATGTGAAATAGATAGTTTGAATGAAAATACACGATTTTGTGTTATAAAGGTCCAAATTACATATTTTGCTTTATAAAAATTGTCACATGGATATACAGTATTGATCAATAAACAAACTATATCTAGAGTTTTTAAGATTTTTTATACCGTATTATACAATTGGTATAATATCCGTATAATAACAGTATTACACAGGGTATAGGTATAATACCATAATTAAAAATAATTTAGCCAATTAAATCGGTTTATTTGAGGACACGAATATTTCTGATTTAAACAAGCTAATTTTTAAAAATTTCTGAAAGATTCCGAGCCATATTAAACTATATAGAAACAAAATATTGGTTATACCGTATTATACAGTATTATACGGTATTATTCCTGGTATTATACTACCATTTCTATTAATACCGGTATAATAAAAACCCTATAAATAGCCTTCATCCGACTATAATAAATAGATATTAGAAAAATAAATTACCTAAAAGTAATACTACAACTTATATATTTTTACTAAATAAAGATTATTTACATATAAAAATTTTAGATGTGTAATTATTTAATTGTTATATATTAAAAAATTTTGTAATAATTTTCAAATTCTAAGCGGAATATTATAAAATTAATAAAATTAAAAAAACTTTTGCAAGCCAAATTGGCATATAATCTACCTTCGAAAAAAACCAACTATAATACTACATACTGTATAGTGATCGAATTTCAATGCAAACCTTGATGCTAATATTTTAGGCTTAGTAATTATTATTGTAATAACAGATAAGCTGTTTTTTTTTTTTTTTGCAAACTAATAATCTAGTTTTAATAATCGATTTACAGGAGTTTTTTTTGTAAAAAAAATTTTAGCTATAAGCAAATAGAGAAGCTCATTTTAGTGCTGTCATGTAACGCTAATTATAGGGTTATATCATTATTATTGACCAGTTTCGCTTTCGCCTAAAATATCTAACCACAATGCAGCCAATGCATCAAATGTTCCAATAAAAAATCCATAAAAGGAAAAAATTAAAGCAAAAATTACCCAACATTTTTCTTTCCACCCATTTAATTGATTCCACCCAAACAATTTTACCCAAAATAAAATTGGCATAATAGATAATAATAGCCCATTACCTGAGGCACCCAACAAAGCCATAAGATCAGAAAAATAAGGAATTGTAACAGCGGAATAGGTTGTAATTACCACGATAAATAATCTACAAAGAAATCTATAGATGAATTCACGAATTTTACCAAGATTTTCAACACTAATACCCATGTAATCTTCTATTTCTAAACAAAAAGCTGTTTGATAGATTGGTAAAGCTAATAAGACATGAGCTGTCATCATTAAAATCGACGTTGTTACAGCAAAACCTGGTGGAAGGTTTAAGTATATTGGAGAAAGAGTTGTATGACCATAAGTTATATAAGCAGGAATGCCAATTAATAGGTACATTAATGTGACTGTACACATGGCATAGATATAAATTGTTGGCCATGAGCGTGGATGTTTCATGCTAGAATTAAGATTAAATAGTTAATGAATTTTAAAGAAAAAAATAAAATAAAGTTGCACAATGGTGATCGAAATGATAATGAAAAAATAACGATAAGATTACCTTGCTTCGACATGAGGAAAAACTATATTTCCGGCATAACTGAAACTGAAAGTTGCCATTGCGAGGGGTATATCGCGAAAGTTCACAAAATCATGTTGAGTAGGAGCACTTGGGGAATATTCCATAATTGACTTCACAAAAACAACAAATACGGCAAGCGCAGTTGTTAACGCACCGAAAACACTATTAAAGATTTACAAGATTGGCTTTCGCTTTAAAAAAAAGTACAAAATAGGAAAAAATGTACATCACGTGATGACAATTACCTTAACCAAGCAGCCTCCTTCATGGTCTTTAAAAATAAAAAAGGCACGGCCATAGTGGCAGAGCAAATATAAATCCAATTTGTCATACCCAAATCAATTCCAATATTTACAAACAAAGGTTGAAGACTTTCACCGGCCAAGACTAGATAAAGAATAGAACATCCTATACTTATAGCAGTAAAGAAGAACCCTACGATACGTAAACCAATGTTGCCAAATGCGTCGTATGCCAGATCAGATATTGATGTTTTTCGAGTCTTGCTAAAAAAGTGAAATTATAATTATGTCAAGCACTATAATAGCGATAGATATAATAAAGAAATTATGAAAACATACCCATCATGATATAAACATTCGATTAATTTTATATTTGCGTAAGTACATATTACACCGGAAAGAAACAAGACTCCCAGGGAGATCCAACCACCTTGTTGAATCGCATATGGAATACCGAGTGTGCCAGATCCCGCTATTAAACATCTGTATTTAAAATATAAAAAAGATTAAAAAAAAAAGTTGTTGTCTAATTACACTTTCTTTCTTTTAGAGACTTACACCACATTAACATAGGCAGTCCAATTTGATCCTTTTGTTTCTCGGTCAGAATGATCACCAGTCTCGATGAGTGATGAATCGGTAATCGCTAAAGTTAAAAAAACTTTCTAAATAATCCGGATAATTATTATAATATATTATTTTATTATTTTGAAAATAACTACCTATGGGTGTTGTACCGTAATTCGGCCATGAGTCGTTATCATGTAAAATCTTTGAATTAACACTTGATTCAATCATTTTTTTTTTTTTTTTAGTTAAGGGATAATTATTATATTAATCCTATTCAGATGATTTTATTGGCATCTTTTATATTAAAAAAAAAAAAAAAACCATTAATTATATCAGTCACAAAAATAATTTGATTTCCCCGACATGCACATACAACCCCAGGTATTTTTTATTCCGCCCTAGCCTTGCTTTCCAAACATGTCATTTATGTAACGTCAATAATTTATCAAAATTCAATATATCTGATAGTTTTAGAGTCTAATTTGTATGTTTTTTGCGGAACAAAGAACAAAAAAAAAAAACCGGTCGTTTAATGAACACAGTTCACTCAATGTACTCTCAAGACATGTGCATGTAAAAGACAAAGTTATTTGCTGGATTTTGAGACACCTTTCAAGGTACACATGCAAACAATGCTTAAGATCACTACATATAAAAAAGGGTTATTAAGATTAAAGCCTTAATCAAAAAAAAAAACGGATGATGATAATGAAAATCTAATCTAAATGATTTTCCTCTTTAGTTTTTCCTTACCAGAAAATCATCGTTCCACGAAAGGCTTAAACAAACAAATATTGATGTAGGACCCTATGGTGCGGTTCCTGTCAAAATTACAAAATTTACAACAATACGCTTTTGCACCGATTATCTGATTTTTTATTCGAAAACACAACAATAATTTTATTCAGTAATTATTCAATATCTTAAAAAAGAATTGTCATTTTTAAGTATTTAAATGTTGTACAGAATCTCCAAAATGGTTAAATTATATATTTCATCATTCATAACTATCACAAGCTCTTGAGAAAAGTGCGCTTCAAAAATTTCTTAAAAAACACAATCAATATAACATTTTCAAAACAGTCCGATCATCAATCTATTTCGAAACTATCTCACTTTAAGAACTTGATAATCGGTATAAAATTTATTATTATAATGATAAATTTATTTATAGAACAACAAATAGTTTTAGTTTGTTATGGATCACCGTAGTAGACTGACAAAATCTGGGGTTATTACAAAATATATACCTAACAAAAAAAACTTACAAAAAAAACACGCTCGGGTACATTATGCCACGAGTTTGTGTCGCAAGAAAGAAAAAATTTAAGTACATATTCCATCTTTGTAATAAGCGGCCTAGAAATTTTTAAAAAAACCACATTTAGTTAATAAAGGCCCGCATTTTTGCACCGAGAAATATTGAAAAAAAAGTCAGTGCACTGCGGTAATTAATAATGATAAATTTATCAATTGTTTTAATTTATTGCATTGGTTAACGTTAATGACAATAACTAATTTGGTAATAGATTCTTATTATAAGTATTAACATATATATATATGTGAACAGTGCGTATTACAAGGCTGTATTACATCGAAAATGCTTGTCAAAATGAATCATCTATCGCTATCATTATACTTTTGATAATCGGGAATGTGAAACCCGCGTTTTTTTAAGGTTAATCTTTTGGCAACAGATTATTTTTAATTAGGATTAGATACTATTTTTGGCAGCGGGTTTCACCCTATTATATTATAACCGTTATAACCATTACCGTTTCAGAAATGCGTGCTGGAATAGACTAAATCAGTCCGACATAAATTTCGACATGTAACGAACAAGAGGGAAAAATAAAGAAAAACGAGTGCTTTAAATAGATCTTGAGGTACTAATTAAAAGGACAGAAATGCGGTTTTTATATTGTATAGTAAGCGACTTCTTTCTATTATAACTTCCGATCTTGCCTTTTCTAACTTTAAATCTCTTAATTTCCAAATATGGTTTGTGTTACGAGCGCAAATAAGTATACTAAAAAGGCAACCCAAAAAAAAACTCATGTTCCACCCTTTAGCGTTAGAATTACAATGGACCCTGGGAATGTCTCACTTCATCAATTACTAGTGGTGGTTGTCATTTCTGCCGTTAGCTTTTTTACTGGATATGCTGCGGGTAAACAAAATACGGTAATAGATTAAATTTTTCATCTTTCTAAATAAATTCCTTTTTTCAAACTTATGCGTCGTATGATTTTATCTTTTTGATTGATTCATTTACCGTTTCTTTCTTGAAATAGAAAGATAAAAAAGTCGATGATTATGATTCCGATGATGATTCCGATGATTCGAATACTATTAAAAATCCATCAATATTCAGAAATTCTCAAATAAATTCCGATGATTATGATAATTTCAAATTAGTAACTTTACTTTTTTTATTTTCATTAATTTCTTTATCTTTTCTCTTAATTTATCTTTGTCTATTGAAGGTATTATTGGTCAGAAATGACCTTGGAATGACAAAGGGTAAAGTTGCCGCGCAGGTTAGTTCTATTTCAATTTTTTATTTTTATATTTTTTATGTTGATTTTTATTCTTAATTTTTATGATTTGCTTATTTTTGTTAGTGTTCTCATGCGACTTTGGCATGTTATAAATATTTAGAAAAAACGAATCCTAAGGTTTGCTCTCTATCTATATGTTTTATTAATTATAATTACTTCTATTGATCTAATTTTTTGTCGAATATTATAAAAAAAAGTTAATAAAAGCATGGGAGTATTCTGGTCAGCCTAAAATTGCTTTAAAGGTCAAAGATGAAGCAGAAATGTATGTTTATTTTTAAATTTTGTTAATTCGTAATAGATAAATTTAATAAAAAACAAAATTTAATTAAAATTAGGTTACTATTGGAAGAAAAAGCAAGAAATTTTAACTTGTGTGCAAGAATTATTCAAGACGCCGGCCATACGCAAGTTGACCCTGGTTCTAAAACTGTTATGGGAGTTGGCCCAGGTAAAAAAAAAATCATTATTGATATGTACGTTAGATTTAAATTTTTTAATTATTATTATAATGAATGGTTTTAATTATTTAATAGGCCCTGTAGAATTAATTGATAAAGTTACAGGACATTTAAAGTTATATTAATATATATAATTTGCTATTATTTTTATAATAAAAAAACGAACCACTCGCAAATAAATATAATATAATTGCACTTAAGAACTTCGAATTCCTATTATTTTTTGAGCTAGATAGTGTCCATGCAAATAAAATTATTTCTTAGAATGCTAAAAAGCCTTTTTTTTAAAAAATTTATTTCTATTAATATTTGTAGTTAGTTTCACTTTATAATATGTCAACTGGCCCTACAACGTTATATAGCATATCAAACAATATATAATCTTCTAATGCGTAAATATATAAATAAGATTTTGTCATATGATTGATAGCGTGCAATGGCATGTCAAATATTTAACTGTGCCAAACAAGCTGTAAGGTTTAAATTTTATATCAGTTCAGTATAGTAAGTGTTAACTTTCGAAAAAACTTTTTTTTAAAATATCCAGTTCGTTATTAAGAAAGTTTGACATAATTCAGAAGAAATTTTAAATTTGAACTATCAGCTTTATTTGGAAACTATAAGATTTTCAATTTTGCTTTATTACAATTAATAGAAGCTAATTTCGCTATAAATCACATCATTATCATCATCATTATTATTATTATAATAATAATAATATTTTATTAATTAATAAAAGAAAAAAATTTATTATATGTAAGACCGCGCATGATGCGCAGGATTCAACCTTACTACTCTCAATAACCATTAGGATCATTCAATTTTCCAGTAAAAAATTTCTCAGAACTATTAGGGCTATCTATATTTGCACATCGCCAGTTATACTTGCTGGTAAATCCAAAAGATCTTTTGGCCTTTGTAATCCACTCAAATCGAATAACCTAAGAATGTTTGAAAAATCGTGAGTTTGTAAGTTTCATGTTAATCAAAATAATATTTAAGATCAGATCAAATTTTTTAAGCAGTGATTACGTACTTGATTCTAATTGAGTTGAACCACAACAAAAAAGCACGGCATACTAAGAATAAGATTCTTGGTTTTATGGAAATCTATAATAGAAATAAATTTTATTAATCTAATTATATTATTGCTAAAACTAATAGCTTTAAATTATGCTTACCAAATCATTATTATCGCCATTATTGGCATTATTATTGTCGTCATCTACATAGCCAATCCCTTGTCCAGAACTAGCAGGCTTCCCACTCGAAAAGTCTCATAGGAGATAAATTACACGCCACTTTCATCATCACAATCGTTCCTTTCGTTTACATCAGCACCGTCGTCTCTTTTGTCAGCATTATCGTTTCTTCGGTTTCATCGTTTTCTCTTTTCGTTTTCATCAACATTGTCACCTCTTTCATCTTCCAAAAGACGGGGTGCGATTTTCTCTTATGGTCCATTAATATTTTTCACAAAGAGGTTTTGATCAGTTAGAAATCACAGTAAGCGCACCATCGTCAGTGGCCAATCTAACTATTAAGTATGACTACTTAATTTAATATGATGGTCATGTGTTAATGCGACTTTAGCTTCTTTTTTTTTAGTATTAATAGTAATAGTCATCCAACCTTTGCAGTTAAAATGAGGCATTGGGATATAATCTCTCTGTTTGGTTGGATCATTATTTTTTTTGGCTTTTTTTGTTTTGACCGGTAATTTGCGCTAACTACTGTGGCCACGATGCACTTCCAGTTTTCTTCTAACCAACTTACTAACTTCAATATGTAAAAATACTAATCTTTTTAATTCGGATTTGGATCTTGGTAAACTACGCGTCGAGTTTCGCGTTGACTTCTCTTAACACAAGAGAAACGAAGATATTAGGTGGACTATCTGCTATTGAAAAAATAAAAATACGAAGGTGTTAAGAATCTAACTTGGATAAATAAAAGTGTTGAGGAAATAAAAGATGCTTACTTGGTGGAGTCTCGAATTTCTATATCGGAGGAATAGGGGAACTTTCGCGTGGGCTTATGTGGACTTATGGGGGGACTTTCGTTGGGCTTATAGGGGGAATTTTCGCGTGGGCTTATGTGGACTTATGGGGGAACTTTCGCTTGGGCTTATAGGGGACTTTCGAGTGAGCTTATAGGGGGAACGCTTGGGAGGAGGAGGAACGCGCAATATTGTTTATTGTATTAATTATATTGATATAATAATATAATATTTCCCATTTTCACACAGGAATACAAAAACAATCTTTGCACATATAAAAAATTTTTTTTCAGGAAAAATGTCGCGAAAATGGTATGCATCCAGAAAAAAGTATTTATCGCGCATAAAATGATCGACATTTTATAAAAGTTTTTTTTTTTTTACTAAGTAAGCCGATAGTTAAATCATTAAAATCGGTTTAGTATATCACAAGATGTTAGTTAGTATTAGTAAAACTGCGCCGATTTTACTATGAAATTTTGGCCCTTTCAATTAACCCAGTTAAACACGAGTTTAATTACGTGAATTTAACTGGGTAAAAAAATCATACTATTAAGATTTAAATTTTTTAATTATTTAATTATTGTCTGGAGCGAAGTGACAGACTTATACTTCTATGCGCTTTGATGACTGAAATTACGTTTTTGATAATCTATAATAAACTTATCAAAAACGTAGTTGTTGCATTTTCCGGATGTAACGCCCCTGAAAAATTTGATTTACGTACATAACAAGACTTTTCAGGGGCTGAAGCTCCAGACTTATACCGGTTTCCGGTTCCTAGTTTAATAGGCCCTACAGAGTTTATTGATAAAGTTACAGACCATTTAAAGTTATATTAATATAACTTGGTATTGCTTTATAAAAAAACCACCGGAAAATAAATATACAGTATATTATAATTGTAGTTAAGAACTTCGAATTCCTTAGTTTTTAGGGTGTTAAATGCGCTGTTATGTATATAATCTCATAATAAAAATCACAAGTGAAATTTTTTGTGTAATGAAGATGATGATTTATATTACAATATAAAAAAACTCAAATTTCGGCAAATTTTTATCGAATTTATTATGTATATATCATTTTTTAAAAAAGCGCTCTATTAGTCTGAAATAAAAGGTTCTGCAGAGCAAGTGAGTAAAATTTTAAAGAAATTAATACTATAAAACTGTATGTAAATTATTGAGGAGACAATTTGAAATTTTTTATAATCGTTTCATATAAGATTTAAACTTCAAATTGTATCTCCTCTGTAAATTACATATTAACTATTTTGAAAATTTTGCTCAATTGTTCAGCAGAACTTTAAAAAAAATATTATTTAATTTATCTAAATAATCTATTTGTCACAAACGATAATGGCACCCGAATTTTATTTATAATTGTATATATTTAGGATTAGAAAGGTCATAGTATGTAGTAAAACTAGGGAAACAGGATCTGTTGGGTTCTGGAGCACCGCTTCATATTTTGTAAACCAATTTTTAAAAAATCTACTTATTTGTAAGATATTAATAGTTTTTAGTGTAAATGCGTAACTATCGTATACCTATCTTTATCTGTCCAATGAAGGCTTTAACTTTGTAAAATTACTATGAATTAAGTTAATAATGTGATTAATTACTTTAAGGATCGTTTTCTCACTTATTAGGTCACAAGAATTTAAATAATTAGATCACAAGAGTTTAAATGACTATATAACAAGCGTATTTGAATTCTTATAGCAGCTTTAACCCGGCTATAAGAAAATATATATATAGAGGAATTGATGATGAATTATTCGATCATCGAGTTTTTTAATTCGAACATTGGTCAAAATTAAAATTTACTATTTGTTTTGATAATGATCAATTTTTTTGATTTATTATAAATAACAAAAACAAAGCTATTTATAAAAATTTAATATTACATTAAATTTTTTTATATATGTTTTTGATATTTTAAAAAAGTTATGAACATTCAAATTTCGGCTAACCGATGTTCGAAATTATTAAACAATGCTCGAAACTCATCAATTCCAAGCTCTAAACACATAAAAATATTTTAATATTCTTAAAAATTTTAAAAAACTGAATTGGCCAGATTATGAGAACAAACTAATTAAAATTTATGATCATATTAAGTATGAAATTAATCAAGAATTTTGCTATATCTATGAGTGTTTCTCTTCAAACATTTGTTCTTGCATCCTTGAGCTTTTTTAATACGTTGAAGTTTTTCAAAAGTAAAATGCTCAAAGATCAGATCATTAATAGAACGAGCCCAAGATATTGCTATTAATAAGGGACCAGCTGCAAACTCTCTTTCTCCAATATTTACTATGGCCTTAGATAAAGTTAGACCTTGACCCATGCAAGTATTAGAGGAACTTGTAAATGTGAGCACATAGCGAATTTCCCATCCCATGTTCTTCTCAATAGGAGCAATTGGTAAAAGTCAAATTTAAAGAACGATAAGTCATAGACTTTTAAGTGATGGTAATTAAAAGTTAAACTTGAACGATATGTCATATTGTATACTAAGTGACAATAACTACAATACTGCTATAATTATGATCGATTGGACGAAATAGTAATTTGGAAAAAAATTTCTTATCCTACACCCGGAATCCAAGTAAAATTTAAAGAACGATATACTATATTACTAAATAATAACTATATACAATAATAAGATTCTGATCAATTGGAGGATAATGGTAATTTGGAAATTCCTTATCCTACACCTGGAACCCACCCGGAATTTTTTCTTGCTTATTGTCTGGACTTAAGTTTCTCCGCTCTGCTCCGAAATTATGCAATGAATATTTTTTAAGTCACGGAAGTTGATTTCATACATAATTTTGAGGCTTTTGTACAAATAGATTCGCCCATATTTTATTAATAATGATCACTACTGTGATAATTACACAAAAATTGTCTATTCAAACATATGTCAACTGGTTATATAGCATATCAAACAATATACTTTATATATATTATATCTTAGATTATAAACTTCTAATGCGTCATGTAATTGATAACATGTTAAATATTTTAACCATGCCAAACAAGCTGTAAAGTTTAAATTTTATATCAGTTCAGTATAGTAAGTGTTAACTTTCGAAAAGCTTTTTTCAAAATATCCAGTTCATTATAAAGAAAGTTGACATAATTCAGAAGAAAATTTAAATTTAAATGTATCACCTTTATTTGGAAACTAAAAATTTTCAATTTTGCTTTATTACAATTAATTGAAGTTAATTTCGCTATAAATCACTTATTATTATTATTATTTTATTAAAAAAAAAATTTTATTATATGCGAAAATATGATTATGCTGGCAAAACCAAAATCCCAAAAAATCCTCTGGTTAATGATGTCCTTCGTAATCCACTCAAATTCAAATACACTAAAAACGTTTGAAAAATCGTTATTTTGTAAGTTTCATGTTAATCAAAATAATATTTAAACTCAGATCAAATTTTAAGCAGTGATTACGTATCTGATTTCTAAATGCGCTGAACCACAACAAAAAAGCTTGGTAAATCTAATCTAATTAAAAACCAATAACTTTAAATTATGCATATCAAATCATTACCATCATCGCCATTATCATTTTCATCAAAACTTCCCGCAATTTCTTTTATATTCCTATAATAATACTGTATAAAATGACACTTGATGAGTAGACATTCGTCATCATAGAAAGTACGTAGCCAATCCCTCCTCGAGAACCAGCAGGCTCCCTACTCGAAAAGTCTCATAGGATAAATTACACGCCCCCGTCTTCGCCGTTTTCATCATCATCATCATCATCATCATCGTTTATCTCATCATCATCATCACCGTCGTCTCTTTCGTTTTCATCATCATCATCATCATCTTTCGTTTTCATCAGCGTCGTATCTTTCGTTTTACATCATCATCGTCTCTTTCATCTTCCGAAGGACGGGGTGCAATTTTCTCCTATGGTCCATTAACATTTTTCACAAAGAAGCTTTGATCAGTTAGAAAGGAAGGACGTTCACAGTAAGCGCACCATCGTCAGTGGTGCTGGTGGCGGTGGTTGATGCAGGTGTTGGTGCCAATCTGACTATCAAGTATAACTACTTGACGGTAATTTGCGCTAACTACTGTGGCCACGATGCGCTTCCAGTTCCTTTCTAACCAACTTACTAACTTCAATATGTAAAATACTAACCTTCTTCATTCTGTCTTAACTACACGTCGCGTCGAGTTTCGCGTTGAATTCTTTTAACGCAAGGGAAACGAAAGTATTATAACTGTCTATTGAAAAAATAAAATACGAATGTGTTAAGAATTTAGCTTAGGTAAATAAAAGTATTGGAGGAATAAAGGCAAAATTTTTTTTCAGGGAAATGATTGTTGGAAAAATGTCGCGAAAATAAGAAAAAAAGTATTTAAAAAAAGTTTACAAAAACACGTGCAATCAAATTCATCCAATCAACAGTAGGACTCTCAAAAAT